AGATTCCCAACAAGAGATGAGCCTTTGGAAGGTGCCATGAATCCTCAGCTCTTTAGCCTGGAACACAGCAAGCCAACGGCAGAAAACCAGCACCAACCCAAGCTGACACAAGATCGGCTCCTGTCCATCGTGATGGCTTCAGCTGCTGAAAACCGGCTTGATGGATTCCAGGCTTTAAACAGTGCGTCACACCCAGGCAGTACCAGTCACAGCCTATGTGGTACCATAGCAGCTTCACTGCTGGCGCCCCCTGTCTGAGACAAAGTGAAATCGGCTGGCTAAGTCAGCGCTATGATGGTGCCCTAGGCCAGCTTCACCGCCGGCGCCCCCCGTCTGAGAAATCGTCATGTTCTGCCCTTCCTGACCCTCCTGTTTCATCCCTGGTTTGGCCCTAACGAGCCACGCCTTCTAATCGTCTGCCCTACCTTTTGTTCCAGCCCTAGTGTGATTCACTCCAGCAGCTCCTCGTTTGATCCCTCGTTAGCGCTGCTTATAAAGTGCTTCCCTGCCTTGTGTTGGTTAGTTCTGTCATTGATGTTGCGAGTCCCAGTCATATGTGCCTTAGCCTTTCCCGTTTTTGATCCACTCTGATCTTGTCTGCTTTCAGTTCTGTTAAGTTATCCCTTTCTGCTTATAAACCTTGTTTGTTTGCCTTGAATCCCGCTCCACCGTCCTTAGTCCTGCCTCATGCCGTGACACTCAGAAGATGCCGTCCCAGGCTCCACTGCACACAGCAAGTCACTCAGAGCGAGATGAGAAAGGCAGGTTACTGCCCAGATCTGCAGATCAAACATACCGTGTGAATGGATGCATTTTTAATTACTTGTAATTTCTCCTAATAACTTATTTGTGTCTCTTGGCAGTTATCGTGTTTTGCTTTTGTTTCTGATCTGAACACTTTTAATTGCTCCCATGTCTTTTGTGATCCCATTTTCTGTAGTCTATTATGCTTTATTCTTTACTCTCTAAGCTTTGTCTGCTTGTATTTTTTTGTCATTCTTAATATAACACTCGGTCAACTAGTTTAAGGACATAAAATGCCCTATTTTTTTATTTTACACCTTGTTTACAATTGACATCTATTGTGAAACAATACATATATATTAATAAGTGTAATATAATTTTTGTGAATAATATTATTACCATGGTCGATTGGAATAATTCGGATTCTTTACACAATTGCTGATGTTTCATTTATCAAGTAAAATAATAATCGAAAGAGGTGTTCCACCTATACATTAATTTTTCTATACGTTTAAAATCGAAAGGGTTGGGGGTGTTCAAAGTTTTTGCCTTTCTTTTTCTCCCGCCTCCTTCCAGTGAAACAAAATCACTGAAGCCAAAATGCAAATGAAGCCGCGCGCTATTAGGATGCTAATGAGATTCTGCGCTCCGGCATCTTCCGCTTATTTCATTCATATTCAGAAAACATTTACACACAAGGCGAGGGGCTGCCTCTCATTTCAGCCAGCCCTCCGTATTTGCCCACTGCTGCTTTTCTTCCGTTTGTTAGGCTTTTTTTTATATATATTATTTTTTTATATAACCGATTTCTGCATTTCAGACGCGACATCTTCAGCACGCCCACGCAACAAAGAGACGGTGTGAAATGACAACGGGAAGTTCAACTTTAATAGGTTCATTAGTATTATCAAAAGTAATGAGCGTGTTTTATCCCAGCTTTATTCAGGAAAGATATGTATGTACTGGCCGACGCTTTAATGTCGTTTTTCCAGTTTGTTGTTCAGTATTTCTGCTGATAGTGTTAACTATTACTCATCATTTGTCAGACCATTTAAATAAGTGCCAGAAACTCCCCAGGCGACTATTTTACAAATTAAACTGTCTTGGCAAATGTAGAGACGGAATTGAGGTTAGCAAACAATCAATTAAGACCCGTCTTGAAATGTTGTCATTTCATTACTTCTGGACGGCAAATTGCTCAGGTGTTTATACACAAATCAGCAGCATGTGGAAAGGAATCATTTTTAGTCGCTCTGAAATCAGAAATGTTTCATTTGGCTCTGTAAAACGCGGGATATTATTGCAATTTCAAAACCCAAATCAAATTATGTGTACTGTAGGTCTATTTGCAACTTCATTGACTGCAACATCACCCCCCCCCCCTCCCCGGGAAGACTTAAAACAAATAGACCTGCAGTTGTAAAAAAAAGTGATTAAATCCAACTAATGATATAATTGTAGGTATAATCACCAAGTTTTCAACAATTTTATGCACCGGTGATCCCTAACTGAACGCAATCTCAACAGGAACATACAGACACATGTAGTGTAGTTGAATATAGTCTGCAAACCACATATGAATTTAAATGAACCTGCTATGTTTGGACACACATGGCGTAACTTTCTTTAGTTTAGTGCTGGAAGTACAACAATAATACAAATAAAAGTGAAACGAAATGAGCACTACTGGTATTGTTTTCAGACAAAATTATACCCAAAGGGAACATATTGTTTAATTTTGAGTATTGTAGTAACTGGCCTTAAGAATAGGCCGACTATAAAATATAGCACTTTTTTGAAAGCCAATTATTCTGCAGTAACTGCAGTAACTGGTTTTAAACCTGCAAATCAGCTGTGATATTGCAGTATGTTACCATAGAAACATGACAGAAGAGAGACTCAGTCATAGAGGCCCTGTATGTGTCCTGACCCATTTTAATTTGTCTTAACAAACATTTAATCTTTTACACTGTGGGATTTATAAAAAATCACTATATTTCCTTTAGGTTTAATATTTGTGATATTTTCTGTTAAATTATGATTAAAGGAACTTACAGTATGCATAACTATACGATACCCCAATGCTTGTGTGTGTGTCTGTGTGTGCGTGTGTGTCTGTGTGTGTGTCTGTCTGTGTGTGTGTCTGTGTGTGTGTGTGTGTGTGTCTGTGTGTGTGTGTGTCTGTGTCTGTGTGTGTCTAACAAACAAACAAACAACAAATTTATTTTTGTATAGCGCATTATCACAACATTACATCGTCTCAAAGCGCTTTACAGCATCACCGCCCAAAGCCCCCAGTGAGTAAGACAGAGGCGACAGTGGCAAGGAAAAATTCCCTAGAAGGAAGAAACCTTGGGAGGGACCAGACTCAAAGGGGGAGCCCATCCTCCAGGGGCCGGCAATGTCTATGTGTGTGTGTCTGTGTTTGTGTCTCTGTGCGTGTATTCCTTGATTTTTGCAAATAAATTGTGTTTGAAATGTAAAAGGGAAGATCTGTATTTTCATTGCGTATTCATAGAAACCAAAGACCACTTTCTACAACCCTTTCTCTGTTTTGAGTTATGGTAAAAATTAAACTTTAAAAATTAAGAATGTTAAATGTGATTAGGCACTGAAATCATTATTTAACTATGATTGTAGGGGCGTGGCTTAAGTTGGTGTAAAACAACTGAGCATATTGCTGACCTGCCGAAGCACTCGTTAAGGAGTCTTTCATTTAAAATTTTTCCAGTAACAATTAATGAATTGAGTCCATGACTAAGGCAGGAATCTGGAGAATGATAACTGATTTCTGGGTTGAACCTTTATTTTTTTCACCCTGACTCTGGTCTTTCTCTGGGGATAATGTGTTTTTTTTTTGGTCCATGACACAAGTGCATTTGGAAGTTCAGAAGTAATTAACCATGCAGAAACAGGCATAAAGACGATGTGTGCAAGCTACCGTCAGCTGCTGCTCTGTCCCACGCAGCTCGGGCCAGTGTAAAGTACACCGTGCTGTCACTGAGATTACCAGAGTAAAGTAAGAAGGCATCCAGGCATTTACTTTAAATTCATGGTAGCACTTTCTAACTAGTCATAAAGCCTCACGAAGCTCAGACCACGAAGAAAGGTCTGAGATCTTCTGAATGCCGCTGCCAATGCACTAATAACTAGAAATTAAATCTGGCCTAATAAGAGCCCAGGATCTTGTCAGAATCGCTCCTGGTCTATGGCGATGTAACTATTATCAGTTACACTGGATTTTGTTATTTGTAAATGCGACCACCATTGGGTTTAAATACACAGGAAAAAATGCAAAACTCTTTTTTGTAAAAGTGACAATTTTTAATCTGTTTTTTCTTGTATTCTATGTTCTGTTCAGTCTTATTTTAGTATTTAAATAAGGTATTTTTGCAAAGGTCTCCATGTCGTAGAGGCTTTGCTGCGTACCTTTGTAAAGACTCGCAACGGCATTTTTGTGGTGAGTAAAATGCTGTCTTATAACAGAGTGAGAAGCTGTTTTGTAAATATAGCCCAGTGCCTTCTGAAAGGACGCAATGAAATGCGAGTGCAATGCTAATATGACAGATGACAAATGATTCCGAATGTGAACACATCTGTAATGTCGCTAATTAGTCTCCCCTTTTCTTTGACTGTGTTTATGTTTTTTTCTGTGCATTGTGGTAGGGAAGGGTGTATGTCCATTACACAGACAAAGTATGAGGGTGACCGTCAAGAAAAACGTGAGGAAAACTGCCTTTTACATTTTTTCTGGTGAACTCATAACTTTTGTGCTGTATACGCCATAATGTGATATATAAGGCCATAAGTGTTTTGTATTTTAGTGGTATAACTTTAAACAGAAGAAACAGACCTACAATAGCTGGTTGTTGTTTCATTGTGATAATCAAATACTTGTTGGCGACCAGTCCGGTTCTGCCCTACAAAGTTTTGTTGTTCTCCTGTTTGGGGGGGGGGGTAGGACATGCATCTGAACATGTATCTTAAAACAATAAAGACGTAAGACAAAACACGGGGGTGGAGGTTTTTAATGCATGTTGCTGTGCTTGTTGAATTCCCGTTTTTTTTTCCCTTAGTAAATAAATCCACATAGCGGCCAGGAAATTACCCTTCAGCAAACTGCAACTCTTGGGGCAGCTTGAAGCCATTGAGCGTAACCGCCCCCCCCCCCCCCCCCCCCCCCCCCCCCCCCCCTTCCCCGGACTGCCGCCCCAGTCCCTCCCCTCCCTCTCGCACTCCACACGCCGGCAGTGTGAGCTGCGCTCCGGAGCATCGCGGTCCATGTGCGCGGCGCGGATGCTGAGACTGCGCCGCATCGCCTGAAGCGCCACCGGCAGCATGTCCACCATGTCCAGCGCCCCTCACGACCCCTTCTACTCGTCCCCGTTTGGACCTTTCTACAGGAGACACTCTCCCTACGTGGTGCAGCCCGAGTACCGCATCTATGAGATGAACAAGCGGCTCCAGTCACGCACCGAGGTGAGCCGCGGATCCGCTCCGGTTCGGGCACAGACCCCGCGTCCCCCGGCACTGGGAAGCGAATCCGTTCCGCATGCATATGCCGAACCAGCACCGATCCATACTGCATGCTTATACCCCTGATTTTGGAGTCCGTGTAATGCGCGAACGCACCTCCTTTCCTAGCATTGGTATTCTTACCCTTACATTACTCTGTCTTTAATAGGAATAAAACAAACCCACATGGCTTAACAAGCGCGAAGCGGACTGCAGGGATCCCCGGAAATAAACGCACAGTCTAACCAGATAACTTCGAGGTTCTTGGTTTAATCGGATCCTAAACGTACTGGCACGCAGGTCGCCAGGCGGAGCAAACAATTGAAAGTTTCCAGCGTCTCACTGCTGCTTTCGCCTGTTTTACTTCAGCTGGATTAATACCGCTTGCAGGCATGCAGACGGACAGAAAGCCTGATGTGAGCTCTAACCGCCCGTAATGGAGAAGTTAAGATTAATTTTTTTTACAGTTCATAGAAGACTGGGACAGTGCTCTCTTTTAAAATACGACCAGTTTATTAGACATCGTCTGACATTTATTGTTATGTAATTATGATTTGTCGTCGGGTCACTACATATAAATTGGAATCAGGTTTAATCGTTAGAATGGCTGAAATTACTCCGCAATACACGCAGGCTACCTGTTGCAGGCGGTTATTAAGAGCGTTTGTAGATCTACACCATTGGCACTGATACGTCCCTCGTTAGCTTGGAGGGGACGACGGGCACTTAAATAAGCAGGCGGGCAATCGGAGGGATGTGCGTTTTAGTGACTGTGTGGGGTCCAGGGCTCATGTGTTTCAGGTAGGACTGGATTTCCCGGAGGCGCCCCGTGCTGCCTATGCCTATCCATCCGTCTCCGACAGCTGCTAATACAGGCAGGATGGCAAAGCATGTTATACGGGGATCTGACACACAAACATCCTGCAAAAGATGGTTTAGAAACCTGGATTTGCTGGAACTACATGTTCCCGGGTCGCGTGTGGAAACTTACCGGGCAATAGGAACATGCAAATAGCACATACAGTACCCCTCAGTGGGGCGGGAATTAAATCCTCAGCCCCCACTAATCACTGTGCCACCATACTGTTCTTAACGTATATTTAGAATGTGCTTGTATATATTTTAAGAAAAATAGCACATTTTGAGTTATGTTGAATGTTAGGACTGAAACCTTAATCTTGTACAAAAATCACCTGAAATATTTTAGGGCATGAATTGGGTTGAGATTGTGAAGGTTCAAAACGAATTGTCCATGTGTGTTTTATAAAAAGAAAAAAAAAGTGAACAAACAGCTTCTAAAAACAGCCCAGTTCTGTGTGTGCAGCCTAATCCCATAACTGTAGCGTTGTGTTGTGTTTTTAGACGCTTGTAAATCATGTCACCTATGGGATTTCAAAGGGCATTGTTTCTGCACATTAGGGGCGCTGGGCGTACAGTACCTCTGTGAGCCACAGAGGGCGCCATAATGGCTCAGTGGTCCCGTTTAGGAGAGGTCAGCAACCTGTAGGGACGGGAAGACTGGGGACTCATGAACTCACGAAGGTCACAGCGGTTCTTGGAACATTAGGAATTTCCTTAGCTGATGAGTCCATGAGCACCGGTGTGACTGTTGAGGCAAAGCAGCAGTATTTTAATCCAACATGGACAAAATAAGGACCATATTTTATATTAAAATCTGCAGACTAACATATTATATAAAAAACATTTTATTAACTCCATTTTTGGCTCCTTAATTTTGGAAAAAGTCTTAAAACATCACTCTACCCTGGAGACTGGAAAACAGCCTTGCATTATGGGAAAAAAAAAGTGAGACGTCTTGGAATTGACTTGAAGGAAAGACTTTTGTTTGTTATTCAACAAATATGTACAGTTGTGTCACTGAGAGTGAGAGTCATGCAGCAGAACTGAGGAGTCGAGAATAGCGTTTAATAAACGCCGTATATGCGCTGTCCTGTTTCTGGGGGAGGTATGTAAACCCCTCCAGAGGAAAAAGCACCTAAGACCTGATACAATTTCTTATCATGGTAATAGCTGATTTGTCAAAATTGTGCAAATAAGGGTTGAAGCTGATCTCTAGAAAAAAGAAAAATCCTGCGATGCATCTTTGTGGGAAACACTGCTGAGATGTTGTGGGGCTGCGATGGAAAAACATGTTGCATTATTCATGATGTGTAGCATGGGCACCAGACGGCCTCCATTCTCCTGCATCAGTTACCTAGAAGGAGACATTAGCTCTGTGTTATGTAGGCCAGTGTGTTTCTTATTTCCTAATCTCTGTGGTTTAATGGCCGGATGACGAACTTATAGATAGATAGAGGGGCGAGGACCTTACTGCGATACGAGGTATTTAGGTCAGACAGAAACTAGGAGCCGGGATTCATAAAGATACTGGAAAAACATGTCATGTACACGCAGGTTTGAAAGCTCGGGAAACAAACAGAATTAAGATGGTTTTATTTTAACCTGCATTTAATGTCACAGAGAACTACATTCCTTTTGCAATAAATATGAATATTTTTGCTTGGTGCTTTGTGTTAGGGCTGTCTGGATTCTTTTGCTATAAATAATAGGCAGTAGTCCTACTATATGTTTTTATAAGATTTGAGAATAGATGTCTATTCATGGATATAATTTATATGGCTATAACTAGGATAGATATTTAACACTTTTACGTACAACAGAGAGACCTCAGACACCAAGAAAAGTCTTATCGATACATTTGTGTATAAACTTCATGTTAAGAGCCATTTTTCACCATTTCCTGCCAGTCTGACAAACAGTTTTAAGGCTGATTGATTGGCCGAGTCCCTTATGACGCTCTGTTCCCCGTCACTTGTAGCTGTCAGAAAGGTTCTGAATGAATGACTGACAGTGACCGTGTGTCACGTCTTCATTCAGGAGCTTGTTAAAAAGTCAGTAATGAAAATGATGCAGCCTGGTGGTTAACGGTGTCTCTCTTGACTTTTCCTTAATGTCCGTGTCCTAAAAATGCCATGTTCATGTGTCTGAATAATTTTATTGTATGCTCTACTTGTCATGAGCAATATAAGACCAAGGAGGACAATATTACATTTCAACCCTGTCCGGTGAGCAAAATATTACCCCCCAGTAAAATCATTGGGTCTAGTCTAGCCCCGCCCCATTCTACAAGGTCTGGCTCAGCCCGTGGACTCATGCAGCATTTGTGAAGTTGACAATAAAAGATCTTTTGGCTGTATTCATGCTTTGTGTAATCAGCACACTGTGAGATGTCCCTGATAGGGCCCAGTAGCTGTATAATGACACACGACTGGATCCAAGTCAGTCACAGAGCTGAAAAATAAATAATTTGGTCAACTGGACCTTTCGTGAAATTGATATAATTCAGAAGACAAAACGTAATGTAGCTAAGGAGTCTGCCAGAGCACATGGCCAACCTCTGGCAAGCGAGTTTGTCGTTTACAGGCATCTGAATCATTTATGAATGCCTTGAAATGCATGGATCTGAAATGCATGGATCTGAAATGCACGGATCTGAAATGCTTGGGGTGAGGTCCTACTTATTGCTAGCTAATGTTCTGCAGTTTGAGAACAGCACCTTTAATACGAATGTTATGTAAGGAGGCGAGGCTGTTGTGTTTGGTTCATTAGGGCTTTCTTCTCTTCGGTTGGCTTTGTGGCCTTCTCTGTGGTGACATAATTAGCCCCCATAATAGAATAGAATCTGGTGTCTGTAATTGACGGACATGTCAGGCTTTGCAGTTTTATTTTTTTTCCATACTTGGTTCCTCACAGCTGACGTGAATAATGAGAAATGATTGATACCCAGAAGTGGTCCACCTGAAAGCCAATGAACCCATCATGGGTTGTTAACTGAATCTAGGTAACGGGGGGGGGGCAGGCGAATCGTGCGACCGGCACAACAGGCTGAACGGTGTCCCGGAATGTTTGGGAAAAACCTTCCGTGGCCGAATTGGTGTGGGCTGGCTGCAGCCTACGGATCGCCCAGGGATTTGAGGTAGCAGACGCAAAGAAGGCCGGAGCCCTATCAGCGGGGCACATGAAAGCAGAAACGCAGCGCAGGTCGTAATTAACGAGGAGCTCCAGACTGTCTGAGGTGCTCGAGTGGAGAACAACCAGCGATTTTATCCGGAAGTGGGGGCTCTGGAGGCACGGAGGAGCTGCTTTGTTTGTGAGACCCACCATGGCGGCTTTCAGCCGGGTTGCGTCAGTGTGCACTCTCTGAGAGTGAGTGCTTAAGTTCCGCATTTTAATATAATTTTTTTAACAATCCTAGAATTCCGATTCCTAGAATTAATAGACGCTAAAAGTATTTTTTTTTTTTTAGTGCAAAATGACCTCAGTTTATCAGACGTGTTCCCAGCCGATGTTTGTGTTTCTTCCCGCTTAATTGTTAAAATGTCGAATTTGATTATCGCTTCTAGATTATCCCTTCGTTAACCTCGTTAAAAACACTGCTTTGCACGAAAATACCCCCAGTCCTTTCATCTGTGTTCCCGGAGCTGTTAAATTCTTCAGTTTTCCCACCCATATATTTTTTGTCCTTCAGCAGAAAGTTTGCAAAAAAGAAGCACTACCTGCAAAATTTGACCTTTGATTTGTGCTTTTTTTGTCATGTTCTGCCTTTGAATGTGAAAATATTCTCTCCTTCTGAAAGCTCGTAACACTGGTAGTACTGTAATCAACTTAAATTACTCGCATCAGGACGGGCTGGAACAGCAGCGTCCCCTAAAATCACAGGTATGAGTCCCTCTATGTATGATATTTTCCGGGGTATTTATCAGTAAATGCGTCATCACAGGGTGTATGTCTGCAGTCTCTGTCTAATGGAGCGTGTTATTTCAATCTTACAACGAATTATAGTAATGTCCCCTTCACAGCAGCTCTGCATACTGGCTACTTACATAGAGCCAAATTGTTTTGCTTTTAATGGTCTGTTTAAATGGCACCGGTACTTAAATAGT